CACACCATCAGAAATTATCTTAAGGCCCCTGTTAAACGTTGTCTATCCATTTTAACAGTGTTTGAGCACAAAGCAGCCCCATGTGACGAAAAAAAAGGAAATAACTTTGCATCTCAAAATAATGACTTAGCAATTTTAAAAATAATGACTTAGTATCTCAAAATAATGACTTAGTATCTCATAGTATCTTAAAGTCATTATTTTGAGATACTAAGTCAAAATATTGAGATGCTAATTTGTAAACGTTTCTCATTATTTTGTGATGCTAAGTTAATATTTTAAGATGTTAAGTCAATATTTTGAGAATGTTTCTCATTATAATAATTTTTTTATTGTCAGAAATGGGCTTCCATATATTTTGATAATTAACAGTGTGTGGAGGATTTTTCTAATAAAAGACAACAGTGGTTATACTTTTTACCTCCAATTATTGTATCATCATAAAGTCTCCTTATGTGATTATAAGCAGCAGCAATGGAATAAGAAAGTCAGGAATCCTGTCAAAATGAAAGAAACTGCAGATATAATAATCATCATTATGTATAGGCCTATTTAATTAGAAGAAGAAGAAGAATTCTGCTTTTGACCACCCTGTATACTGTGTCTCCAGCATCTCCTCTCTGTCTATAAAAAGGGTTGAGAGGTGGATGTGGTAAGAATTCCGATCTCTGCCTCTTTGTCTCCACAGAGGGAGGATAGTGAAAGCCGGTCTCCTCCATCCCCAGAAGGCACACCTGTGGTGTTTGTGGACAGATACCTGGAGAAGCATATCACTCCTGTCACTCTGAAGTCCAACATTAAAAGGAACCCTCTGTACATGGACATAAGATCAATGGAGGCAGTAGACAGCAAGAAGACCACCAAGCCTTCCTGGACTGTGAAGGAGTATGACACACAAACAATCCATGGCAACCTCGCGGGGCATTTAAAGGTAATTTGAGGAGAGGCTGTCGATGTTGACAGGATGGGATGGATTGGTGCAAAGACAGATGGACAACTGGATAGATGAAGGGATACACTGTAAAGACAAACTGGTAAATGAGACCATGGAACATAGCCTAGTACACTGGTGATGGTAGGATAACCAGACACTAATGAAACTAATCAGGGAGGGCAGGCAATCAATACTGGCGGGGAAGCAGACAAACACAAGAAGTGAAGTTACATGCGGAAGAACCCTTTCAACATAAAACAGGAAATAACTGAAATAAAACCCAAAAACATAACGACTGACTATAATAATAGTATACTTTTGAAACTAGTTATTTTCTTCATTAGCATTAATAAACGACTACACTGCACTAATAAATTGAAGCATTGCCCTTGATAGGCTGATGTCCCTTCATGGATCAGTTGATAAAATAAAGCCCATCGAACAGAAAATAACTCATTCATACACATTCAAGCAATTTGGGGTTCAGTATCTTGCTCAAGGATACTTCGTGCAGGAGGAGCCGGGGATCGAACCAACAACCTTCCTCTGCACCACAGCTGCCCATCCAGTCATGCAGAGTATGAAACAGATAATCTGTGAAAAATCTGTTCTTCTCTGGCTTTTCCTAGTGCTCCTAATGGGATTTGCAGTCTGAAAATGCATGCAAACTGTTGATTGACAACAGAGAAGGTTTCAGCTTTATTTTACTGTAAAACCTGACAACACAATAAAACAAGTAAGTTAATATAACTTAATCCTCCAAAATATTTGAGTCACTAATTCACATGAATTAAACCCAACTCACTTGTTTTGAGTGCACTTAAATGTGTTCAATATTTTTGAAGTACGGGCGATATAAATCCAGTTTGTTCCACTGACTAATTTTCTTTGAATTCACTTTATGTCATAATAACAGTGTAAGCATTATAATGCTGTAAAGCTTTGGAGTTTTTGTTTTATTTCATTTTATTAATCATCGTAAACCGAAGTATACATTCAAATAATTATTATTCATTAATGTAAAGAGTTGATGTAAGTCACATAAAAAACAATGAAACAAAACTTATCGAATCATAATTAATTGATTATAAATTGCTTTTATTGTACGTCAGCTGTTTTGATAGGTGATGTAATAATTTGCTTTAGTGGAAGAAAACTAAGTAAATAACACTTGGTGGTAAGATTTGTATAAAGAAGATGCATTTAAGTTACTTTATTCAGAAAAAATCTGTTCACACATTTTAAATAAGTTTGGAGAAATGCTACAAATTAGTCTAACTTCAATTAACTGAATGGAATTGGTATAATTCACTTAATTTACCCAGGTTACCTTAACAATAAATGCCTGACTTATGTCTACTCAAATATTTTTGATGCTTAAATTGTTTAAAGCCATCAGTTTCCTCAAACAGTTTGAGTTGAACTAACTCATCAGGGTTTTACAGTGCAAGGAAGGAGTGTGGCTTTAAGATGCATTCAATATAAAACCATTTGTAAGTATGATGAATATTGCACTTTCTTGTAGTACTTAATTAAGTACATTAAAGTGGCCCTCCTATGAGATGACAATATCAGCAGTTTGAGACTCCTGTTTTAGATGGTTCACCCAGATATAATGATCCAGTACTGCCACCCACTGTTCATATAACTTAACTAAATTAGGTATTTTACAAGCCACTCACTCCTTTCTATTGCTCTAATCTGCATTCACAGTGACAGGGCTGATTCAGATTCAAATTCATTCTTTATTGTCCTCAGTGGAG